TATGTCATATACATATGTGTGTGTACATTGTCTGGGCTGGAATAGCTGCAGCTGTTTTAGCCTTAGAGAAAGACATGAGAGGAACAATATTATTTTCAATATATAATGAATCAAAACAAGAAAGAACCTCTCCTTTGGTTTCTCTCTGTGATTCCACACCTCCAGAAACAACCTGAGGACAACCAAACAAACAAATGAAAAAAAGGTAACACAAGAAATGCAAGAAAATCCATTAACAAAGAGAACATCAAAAAAAATAGACCAGAAAAGCCAGGGTCCCCCCAGATTTTAAGCATTCCACTTGAGTTCACTAAACCCAGCATCATTTTTTGTCCTGCAGAACATACAAAAGGAATTGCTCTCCAGAACAGCCCACACAAAATCCACCTCTTCCACCAAAGATTTTGTCTCTTGCATCTCTGACTTAAAAGGTATCACAAAATGCAACCCAGAGCACGAAGTGGGAAACAGCTGGGATGCAGAGAAAATAAGAATGCCACAGGCAGAAAGTGTCTCCATCTACAATCCTGCTTGGAAAGCAGAGAGGAGCACGAAGAGCAAAAACACAGGTCAGCCTCGGGCCCCAGCAGATTAACAGAGGGAAACAATCAATGATCTGAAAAAGCTACGTGCAAAACCAAGCCAAATGTTCTCTGAGCTACAGATTTAGAGCAAAACCCAGATCCTAAATTTGCTCTGAAATGGCCAAAGGATGAAGGGCAACAAGTCCTTTCCAAAGGCAAGAGCAGCACCCCTGCTATTATCCCTTAATAAGGGAGGAAAGAGAGACATCTAGTGCTGAGAGGGAACAGCAGGAAACGTGGAATTCACAGCAGCACCCCGAAGCTCTGAACCTGTGGGTGACAGCTCCTGGGACAGCTCTTCATTCCCCAAAGCTCAGGAGCCAAAAGGCCACCAGCCAAAGCAGCAGCTCATGAGAGAGAGGGTGAGAGCAAAGCCGGGGGATTTTCTCCAGGGAAGATAACAAAGGTGAGGGATTGCTCGTCTCTGAAGCGGAAGAACGGCTTTTGCTCTGAAAACTAGAAGAAAGATTGCCTTCCCTCACATGAATGATGATAGTCAGAAATCTAGCTGGACACAGGAGGAAGAAAACATTCTTTATACTGCAGAGCATTGATGGTCTGTGCAGAGAGATAAGGAGAACCTGGTCAGCAGAGCAGCTGAAGACCAAGCAACCAACACAGGCAGCTCTGCTCAGAGTGGGACACAGAAGTCAGGCTGGGGACAATACAGAGAGTGATTAATTTGGTCTCTGACAATTAAACTAAATACTTAAGCATGTGAATGTATTTTCCAGGGGAATTTCCTCCTGAGCATTTCCCATTTTGTGAAAAGCAGCTTTTCTAACTGGAGATTTCCGCCCCACGGGTTGGTCAGAGGCTGCATTTTCCCGTGGGTCTCTGGACACGATAGGAGGACAGGTAGGGCACTGCCACTGACACCTGGCTGTGTGTGTGGAAGGCAGTAATTGCACACAAAATACCTGTTCAACCAAACACTGCAAGTAGGGAGATACCTGTGACCTTTCTCAAAGTTTAAGATATCTCTTGTTTACAACGCCTCTATTAAATAACCTGGAAGGATTTTTCACATTTGATATTGGTACTGGTACAAGCATCAGCACAGCAGTGTTAATCAACATCTTTTCACCATTTATTTTCCCTTAGGAGACTTGAAACACATTTATCTTCCTAGACTTTTTGTATTTTGAACATAGCATTTTTGGGGTACATTGCGCTAGGTTCATCAAGCACTTGTAAGTGCCAGTTTTGACCCCTTAATGAACCCCAATATTCTAAGTTAGAGCCAAAAATGGTTCATAAAAACCAGTTTGGTTGTGTCTAGTATTTTGGCAGCATGTGAGGAGGGGGTTTTTAAAGATCAAAACTTTAGAAATTGTAGAGGCTGAATGGCCTCTGTCTGAGAAGTCTGCAGGTATAAAAGTGTGATTTCCCAGAAAGAGAAGAACAGATCACAGAGCTGCTCTGGGGCCAGCTGCAACATCCCAATTCCAAGACACCAAAGCCCTGTGAGGGGGAGGCTGCCACAAAATTCACAGATGAAAACAGAAAACAACATATGAAAAGTTCACTAAAGAAGGTGTCACTGCAGATCTTAAAATCAAAGCCCAAGAACAGATTTAGGTGATGCACAAAGCATCTGATACAGAGTGAACAATAATTCTCCTCCACACAGTTCTGCCATGGGCTTAAAACTATGGACAAGTGTAAAGCAGATCATACATTAAGAATAGAAATCCTGATCTTGAAAAGAGCTAAAATGACAAAGATCATGAAGATTGACAGTGATAGAAAAACTAGAATGCAAGAACTCTTCCAGCCCTGTGGCTTCAAACACTGCTCATTCTCTCTCCAGACATAAGCTGCATTTCCTTACCTCAAGCAGAAAGTAAAAATAAATGGGAGTTGGGGAGGGGGAAACAAGAGAGGTAATTTGCCTAAGAGAGTTAAATGAGATGACTCTGGTCTATTTTCCTTTGTTATTCCAAGCCTAATGAAGTGTCTGGGTAGTTGGAACAGCTCCTGCAGCATGATCTGATTGTTGTAGCTGCCTGTTTGTTTGCCGTGAGTTATTGTTTTATTTGGCTCTCGTTTCTGAGCTGTTTCCCTGCTCTGCTGGGCAGACTGATGCTGCTGGACCGTGTTTATGAGCCTGTAAATGATTGGGGAGCTGTTTCTCCAACATAAGAGATTATGAGAGACAGAGAGAGGGGCTGTGCTGGGCAGAGCACAGACTGCTGCAGCATATGATGGCCTTTCTGCATCCAAAACCCAAAGCAGCATTTGAATCAACAACAAAGTGTGGGGTGGTTTGGTTTTTCTCCAAAAGCAAGTTAGTTGGTCAGTGAACTCTTAAAATTGCACAGTGTCCTTCAAACCAAACAGCATCTTGAAGGATCCAGTGTGGTGAGCATCAATGCCTCCAACAGGGGCCTCTTGCAGCCACTTATATCTGCCTGGGGAAAATATGACAAAGAGATTTCATCTTCTACAGCTGTATCTTCTGGCTTTCTATTTAAGTTATAGTCAATATTTTCATTTATGCCTGAATAGAACATAGATCACCTAATGCCACGCTGTATAAATCAAATATTGAAATTAAATTCTTGTGCTCCGTTGCAAGTACGAGTAGAACATTTTGTGATTGTCCAGTACAAAATTAGTCAAATACTTCCTGGGCTGAAGGAGACATACAGCACTTTGGAAAATTTACCTAAAACTTGTGGAAAAACTTGGACTTTTTAACTAAAGTTCCTTATTTTCTTCTTTAAAGCCAAATAGGATCATAGATAGTAATAAAATATTCTCCAGGATAAGGAAGGGGGTGAGGGGAAACTGGGGGGGAGGAGAAAGGTTGTGTATCTTTTAGAAAAATAGGAATTTCAAATGCCAGACCGAAAATCTGGCACATAAACATCAAAATCACAGCAGGCACCCAAGCTCTCCATTAGAAGGTACCTTCTGCCCTCTGCTAAGGGAATTAAAAATCTGCAATAGCACTGAGGGCTGAAAGATTGCCCTTCCAGTTCTCCTCACGTTAGGTATTATTAACAAGGGTCTTTTGTGATTCTTTTGCACAAGGGCACTACAGCCAATTCCAGTTCATTACTTAAAGGGTTTTCTGCTGATTTAGGGAACCCTGAGAGCTCAGAAATTCTCCTGAGAAATCTCTCTCCCAGGAAACAGTTCACTGCAACCATCCTTTTGAATAGGAAGGCAATGGTAGGACTTATGCCATGGTGTATTTTAGGTAAAACACAGCACAAAATAGAAAAAAAAAAAGGAAATCATCAGGATAAACTATGAGAAAATAGATGTTAATGTCATTCTAAAGAGTCTTAGGGTACCACAATGCAGAACATCCAGCCATCACCTGCTACAATAGTAACTCTGCTATTTCTTAGGTTATTTGCAATTTAATACTAAAGTTCCTCAAGAGCTCAGAATTTTGATTCTGGGTCAAAGGAAGGGAGAATGAAGTAACAAATAGCAGCAAGGTTTCTATCACAGTTTCCTTCCTCAGCCTCCCTGGACGAAGCACTACAGCTCTGGATGTCAGGGCGGTAGGGAGCCAGGAATCCTTGGATATAACCTCAGGGTACTTGGGTCAAATCCTCCCTTTCCCACTCTGGCAATCTCTTACAAGATCAGAGTTAATGGGACAATCACTTATTCCTTGGGCCTATCAGGTAAGTGCTGAGAAAATAACAAATATTCATGAGAAACAAAAGGTATCTACATGTTACCACTGAAGATGAACAGATCACACACACACAGGTCGAGGTGTGGTGAGAAGAAGAGAGAGTTTATTTTTCCTCCCAGGATTTACAGGTTTCTGCCCACGGCCAGGGATTGGATGGTCAGGATAACACTTTCTCACTGCACTGGCAATGAGAGTTGCCCATCACAAGACGTGCAACAGAAAGAATGTACACATATCTATGTTTACAGCTACTCTCCTGGGAAAGTCCTTAGAAAACCATGTCAGCCAGCTCAGAAGCTGAGTTTTCAGGTGACACCTACACGTGATATCCAGCTGATCTGCTCACTCCACAAAAGCTTCCCAGCCCTGCTCATGGGCATGGCAAAGAGAGCATTCCAGCCCTGATCTTTACTGCAGAATCTCTGAGCTCTCAAACACATTTGCTCAGCTGTGCCGTGTCCCAGAATGAAACCTTTCCCTTGTTTTTCCTGCTCCAGGCTGCAGCCACGCTCTGCACCCGCGGGCACAAAGGTCTGAAGGAACCAGGCTGGCTCCACTGCCTCCCACAGAGCCCCTGAACACCTCAGGCTCCTCTGCAGGGCCAGGCAGGGCAGCAGGACAGACTGCAGTGCACCTGCAGACCTGGCTGGCTGGGCTGGCTGTGGCAGCAGCCCCCGCCACCGATGAATTCCGCTCCGCACGCGGCATTTCGGGCAGCCGCTGAAAAACGGGTGACACAGTTGGTTTCACTGGCAGAGCACACAAGGTTTTATTTGTCAACAAATGGGTTCCATGATCCATCATTAACACTTGATTGATTGGCCCAGCACTTTGGCAGGGGGGTTTTTTATCACACTTTTCTGCAGCAGAATGTATTTCAGGCAGTGTCTTACGCACTGATTTGCTGGCAGGGGCTGTGCTGGCAGAAGGCAGAACATTTCCTTGCATCCTCTGCTGGTCAGTGGGAGAGTGGGGATGAGATAACACGAGGGACTGCGTTACGGCTTTACATCTGTTTTTGTTATGATCGGATCTGTTCTTCCTCTTATCACAACAAAAACAAGTCTCATGTCGTTTCCTCGTTCATCTAACGCAATCCAGATTCTCAGCTGTAAAAAAAAAATATATATAAAAATCACCAACCAAAAAAAAAATAAAATGCCCAGCCCAACTAACCGTTCTATAACCCAAATTTTATATATTCATCTTTACAATTTTTTCCATCTTTCTTTGTGCAATAAATACATTCAATCAGAAGAAAAATACACTAACTCACTGTGACAGATTGGACTCCATCTGTCAAGATTTCATGTTTGATATAGACTGGAAATTGTAGATAAAGGGGAAATATTCAGGTACTGTTCTTTCAATGAATGTCCCGGAGGGAGATTAAGGGAATGATAAATTGGTTATGGTTACACCCTGAGCCAAGCCATTGGAAGTCTAATTAGAATCCAGAAGGATTGCAGCCAGGAAAGACAGATGCTGGAAAGAGGAGTAGCATGAGGAAAAGGATTTTAGTTTCAACTGGGACAGAACAAATGTACAAATAACCTTAGGTGTTAGCCAAGAAAGAGTATATTTTGTCATCCTGGTACAGAAGATGTTCCTGCAATGAACATCCTTGCAGGATCCCAGAAAATCCTACATTCAATGAAAGATATTTTTGAAATAAGAAAAATAAGAGGAGGTTTGCTTAAAATTCTTTCAAGGGACTAATAAGAATCCACCAACTCAGAGCATAAAGGTGAAAATTAGAAATCCAAAAGACTTGCCTTATGACAGCATCCTGCATGATTTTGAAGACTTGATTTAATTTACCTGAGTTTCCTCATGTGTGCTGCGAGTCTCCAATGTGATTTTCTGATGGGAAAAATAAACCAGAAAAGTGTCAAGGAGATGTCCCAGTACTAACAGGAACTACAAACAATCAGAGATCCACAGTGACTTCGACACTAAGAAGAAGAAAATGTCTTCAGGTGAGAGCACGGGAACAAATATTAATTTCACCTAATTAAGACAAAGAATATTTATGCAAAGTGAGTCCAACTTGCTGCAAGGAGTGCAGTGGCTGAGAGTGACAGGCCAGCAGAGCTGAGAGAGGCCAGGCTGCCCCTGGGGCCGGGAGTGACCCTGGACAGGCGGTGGGACAGAGGGTGAGTCTGGCTGATGGGCTGAGCTGGCTCTTGGAGCTTCACAGGCACTGAATGCACGACTGGATTCCAGCTCAGCACCCCCAGGGATGCCAGGACTGCAGGAGCAGTCACACAGCACAGAGTGATGCTCTGAGAAACTCTGGAATGTGCTGGTGCTGGTTTGCTCAGAGGGTGTCACTCTGGCCCAGCCAATAAAACCGGCAGCACAGATAACATCTGCTTTTCCCTTAAATTCTAATAAAAAATCCCAGAACCAAGACGGGAATCATCTGAAAGAAAAATCGTGAAATAGATTCTGCTCTGTTAAAACAAAGGAAAAACAAAGACCCTGAGCCCTGGATATTGGGTTGAGAAGAGCTGCCTGCAGGAAAGGTCACCAGCATCTCTGCCCACACCTCTGTGGTTTGATGTTTGTCACACTTTGCCTTTGGCTCTCTGGGTCTGTTCAAAACCTCGACCCTCAGTCACTACAGCAGCCCAGGAGCACGGGATTAAGTAAATCATCTTCCCCATGGCACAGAAGAACTCCCTCTCTGCAGCTCCATCCCTTCTCAATCACAAACACTACAGTTTTCCTTCAGAAACGCTCCCTACAATTTCTGCTTATTCATCTTTGAAGACAAAGGTATAAGCCACTACTTCCAGAAGAAGAAAAGAAATATTCATTTTGTATTTATGAAGGAGCTATCAGTAGCAGTGAAATTTTCCATGCAACACATTCCTGTAAATGAAATTCATTAGATTAAAGCAGTACAGGCTTCAGGAAGAAAGAAATCCAGACATTTTTCCCTGACAGACATGAAAAGGGAGACAGGTATGTCCATACTAACAACAAAAAATACCATCAATTTCCATACATATTATCTCCCCTCAAAGAAAGACAATTTCTACTGATAATAATGTCACTTGTGGAAAGTTTAGTGGTTAAAACTTTCAGTGAATCTGTGCCCTGTTTTGTCCTGGGAAAGGCAAGACAAATTCACCTTTGAATTTTGTGTGATTCATGAGGCCCACAGAGCAGCTGTCAAACAGGACAGTGATTACAAGCTCATCATTAAGCTACAGACACTGCAATAAAAGATGCCTGACAAATGTGCTTGGAAATAATAAACCAAAGAATTCTTGCAAGCAGTAAGACGTGATTTTTTTGGCCAGGATGTTACAATAATTGCTGTGTCTGTGCCTTTACAGTGCAAGAGGATTGTTTGCACAACAGCGTGGGTTCTGTCATTATTGATAACTTTTAAGGTAGAACCAAATTTCTTTAATTCAATGATATAAATAATAATAATAAAATTAAAAACCCCACCCAGCTCCTCACAGCTGTGACACTGCACTGTGGTACCGATCTCTAGCAAAGGAAATCCAGAAGATTTTACTCCATGCCCAGTTTTATGTCAGTAGTGCCTTCTCCCTAATTTACTATCTCATCCTTCTTAATTTGTTTTTTTTGTTTCTGACCTATCAAGATAAGAAATGGACTATGACACTACAAAAATAATTATTTCTTTTTCCTTTTAATTCCCTCAAAGGCTGAGGAACCGAACATTGCAACAGGAACTCCAACAGTAATTGGGCTTCAGTGTCACTGCACCAACTTCCTCTGAGCTGAAATGCAAACTTTAATTTAAAAACCATCATCAGCCAAAGTGAGAAGCCTCAGCCCATCAGAGATCTGTGTTAGGATGACACTGAGGTGCACATTCCCAGTGCACAGTGAGAGATGAAAGCTGTTTGAATTAATAACAACAGGCATTGGACACAATTATTGTAAACACAATCATCTTTTCCCTAATCATTTCCCAAAACCACGGATGCTACTATGTGGAGGATTAGAAGAACAGGAATGGAGAGTATTATAAAGAAAAGTGAATGAAAACAGTTTAGCTCTTTGTAAATGGCTTTCTGCTTTAAATCTGATATTTATGATGATATTCTGATATTTAAATATGATTTAAATACGATATTCAAATATGATCTCCAAATTCCAGGATAGTCCAACCCACCAATCACCAGTGCTACCAAAAAAATTTTAATTGGCTTTAAACTTTATTGGCTTTTTTAATTGTGACAAGGATAGTGGGTTTTTGGGTCTTTTTTTTTGTTCTTTGTTGTTTTTTGCAAGCATCTCATTGATATATTTGCTATTTTGCTACTTTAATCTGTATTAGTGACAAAAGAACTGGAGGTTTAAGTCTGAGGATCACCCAGCTTCTGACACTGGTAAGATTTAAGGATGACAATTTGGAGATCAAGGGAACTTTACTGCTGGCAGAGGAGGTAGGCAATTTTGGGATTAAAGTAGCTAAAGCAGCAGTCAGACCACGAGATTTGTTTCCCTGATTTTTAACATGTATTTGAGGAAAAAAACCCATTAATACAGATCTCTCTGGGGTTTAGCTTGTAGAGGTGCATAGGGCACTCTCATAAAATGCAATTTTTGTGTCTTTTTAATGTTCCAGGCAGGGAATCTTCCAAACACAGATGAAAATCTTTTTTTTTTTATGTCCTTTACTACATACAGAATAACACCAAGTACAGGCCTTGTCTCTGATTTTTTATTTCTTTTTCCTGTACAGTTCAATATTCATAAAGAGAGTTTTGCCATCCCCAATCAGGAATTAGCTCACCTCCTTTCTGACATGTGTACAATACTGCTGGCTGCTTTTCAGACACAACAATTTCATTTCCTCACTTTACAGGATGCCTAAATCTCTGTGCTTTAAAATGTAACCATGAGCTTGGATCTTTTGGGTTTGCTTCAGCTCGGCTTTCTAGCTCAGTTTAACTTTTGTCATTCACATTTAGGCTCCACTGCCTGCCCATGCCAGACACCAAACACCAATTTCCCTTTCTTTGTCACCAAAGTTATCTACATTGCAGGGAGTTTTTATTCAAGCTACAACACTTGATGTATTAATCACTTTTATTTTCTGTTTTAGCAAAGAGAATAAAGGGAATGATAAATAAGTGTATAGGTGAGATGATTCAGTAGTGATCCTGCCCCTGGAAACGAGATAGTTTGGTCTCCTGAGAGATTACTGCATTGTTTCCACTGCATTGATCATCATCTTGATAAATATTATGACTATCTTAAGCTCCATCTTCTTCTGCATTAACATGAAAGATAATTCACCACCTATGCAAGTGCACGGGGAGGGAAAAAAGAGCTCAGTTTGGGAAGCAGAGGGAGCCTGGTGTGGTTAAATTTCCTCAATACAGGTGTCATTCAGGATTCAGCCACTCCTGATATCAAGGAAAAAAATCTAGGAAACTATCCTATCACAGAAACCTATTAATTAAAGTGCAGTATAAAGACAACAATTAATTATTAGCTGTAGAATTGTTCACAATAACCACTGACAGGAAGAGAATATTGCCACACTGAGATATACTGGGTGTAATCAGCAAAATAAAATACAAAGGCTTTTTTTATTCCTCTCTAGAAACATATCAAGTACAAACCATTTCTGGTAGCCATTCATAACATGAAAAGAGGAAAAGGGAATAAAGAAAGAGCCTGTGATTAACTTGTTGGCAGGAAAATACGGTATCAATGTCCCAGCATTGATCCAGGCCTCATTCTCCTTTCCTGTGTTTGGGGAGATCAGATTTCTTACACATTCTGTCTCCTGGACTTCATAGCCCAGCAAATATTTGCCAGACAAAGGCTGTTAAACACTTTCTTTACCCATGTCAGTGTGTTTGACTGCCCCTTGTTTGCTTCTCTGTCTTCTTCACTGTTGTGTCCATCACTTCTCACACTTCTAATTCCCTTTTTATTTCCTTATTTCTCGATTTAATTTTTCCTAGTTTATTATGCCCTCTTCTCATCTGACTTTCTGGGCTGCTCAGAGCTCTACTTTTCTTGCCTCCAACTTCATCTCCAATAATTTCAACTCCTATTACTGCATTTCTTGGGTAAACAGAAAGGAACACAAAGGAACACAACTGAGCTACATTTTCTGAAGAAAATATCTCCACTTAAGGTTTTATAGTGAAAAATAACATTAAAAATGTTACTTAAAAGAAGAGGACAGAAGGAGAAAAATAAAACAAAAGGATTTCTTACCAGATGGAAGAGAATAAAAAAGAGACCAAAGCTTCACTGAGGTACCAAACTCCTGCATTTAGAACAAATGGCACGAGGTTTATCTGAAACACCAGATCAGGTGGAAATGGACATTTATTACATTATTATCTTGATTTGCTGTGACAGCCAGGTGGGGCTTGGTGGTTTTTTTCCTGTATTTAACAATACAGCTCCAACCACAGCAGTGGCCACCGTGGTCTAGATGACTTTTGTGGAACAGCACCAAGAGATGTCCCCAAGGAAAGTTCAGAGGCTCAGACTGTTCCAAGCTAAATTTCTCTGCTTACACATCCTTCCAGCCAGCCCTGGGGAGATGTTAAGGCAGTTTCAAAAATGCCAGAGCAGATCTCAGGGCCTGGGACTACTGTCAAGTCAGGTAAAAACTGAATCACTACAGAAACCTCCCTCTACTTTGCTTTGGTTTTTCATTGATTTAATGAGAAAATAGATTTCCTGCAGAACACTTCTCTATAATAGGATTAATCATACTGTAGAAGTATTAGAGACTTTGTGAGGGTGGAGATGCAGATGTTATCAGTGCCCTGTGTCACTTCTTGGATCTTAAGAACTGTCCCCATTTATTTCTTTATTCACATAAGTGAATTCAGCGTGTTAATTGGGAATGGGAAAGAAATTACTTCCATTCACACGCTTCAAATTGATTGGCTGTCTTATTTTTTTGGGAAGAATGAATAAAGTACTAAACAAATAAATTAATCTACCTAGGCACACAATTATTCATTGTGATTCTTTTTATTGTGCCCCTTCCTATTCACTCTTGCTGTGAGATAAACAGCCCCAGCCTTCTCATCTCACTGCACAGGAGATTTTTGTTCACAGGCCCTCGTCAGCCATTCTTGATAAAAGTCTAGATTAGTTTATTGGCTTATAAATATTGGTTTGCTTAAAATCAGTTGTCTTCAAAGACAGCTAATGAAATATTATGTATTTGTATGTCCAAGGTGAATAATTCTATAGTTGATCATTTGTAGTTGGGGTTTTTCACCACCAAAAAAAAAAACAAAAACCCAAATGGCACGGATACCGAGGTAGATTTGTATTTTATTTTAAAGTAAATTATGGTGGTCTGGACTATTCTTGGCAGTTTACTGGGCAAAGCTAGGCTTCTCAATAACATCAGGCATCAGATACCTACAGAGTTCTCACAGTTTCTATCATATAATGTCCTGGGGAAGTGGGCAGACTCAAATGTTCAAAAAGTTTTCTCTTTTATTATTCTCTCTCTTTTTTTTTTTTTTTTTTTTTTTTTTTTTAATATAACTTACCTGATTGTTATATTTAACAGAAAATGTAAACTTTTAGAAAAAAAAAAAAAAAAGACTTCTGAAGTCTTTTGAGGAAATCAAAGTTTTGGTTTTGCAGCTTTTACAGATGTAAAATGAAGCTGACATGAGCTGCCCAAGTAAGCAGCAAGGTGACTGACAATAAACCTCTCAAAAATAATTTCATTCTCTAAATGAGATTTTTTTGGAACATTCCTGAACTGTAAATAATATAAAGGTTGGTGCTCAAAGATTAGAGCAAGTTAGAAGATAATTTATTTTCTGTGTGTTTTGCAAAATACAGAAATCCAATTTCCAGCTACTTTTTCCATTACCTGAAATAAATATTGGGGTCTGATCACACATTTAATAAGAATATGCTTCACTTTCTGGAAATTTCATCAGGAGAAAAGAAGATATAGACAGTACAGACAAACAATCCAAAGAAATGAAGCACATTGGCTTGGAAAAATAAAAAAGTTTTCCATATTATGATAAAAACCCTTTCAGAGTGTTAAAGGAAAATCATCTGCAGTTTCTTGGGCATTTTTCTTTGCTCTGAATTGACAGATTTACTTGGCATTTTGGTAAAATTTATTTCAGCAGCACTGTTCACTTACCTAAGTGTTTTAAAACATATATTTGATTAATAAGCTCGGTTACTGAAACACAGACTTTCAAGAAATCCAAAATACCATTTCCCAGAAGTCGGTATCGGTTGTAAAGAAAACCACTGACATATTTAGTAAGGATACACTCTGAACATGTCCTGTGAAATATCTCAGAAGTGGGAAAATCCACTTGAGGCTGTGCAGAATTCAGCTTCAGGTGAGGACAGAGCTTTGTCTTGGGGTGTGTCGAGCTCCAAATCTCAGTAATAACTGACAAACATACTTATTTATATAAATAAATTTATTTATTTTTATTTACACAAGAAAATATTTTTGCTCTTGCTCCCGCTTAATTGAATTTCCAAATATTTTACGGTGAAAAGCTGAATCGGTTTTAAATCCTAATAAAATAGAAAGATGTCCCCAAACCCGGTGAACAGAAAGTCTCTTTGCTCTTTAAAGCAGTGGCAAAAGTTGCAATGACACACAGGGAAATAGCTCAGTGCTCAGAGCGTTTTCTTTGGCTGAGTTATTCCACTCTGCCATTTGTTAATAAAGCACATAATTTGATTTAAAAGTGAGACCAATTCAGGGATCTCATGTCTTGCTCTCTGCGTGCATTTCCTTCACACAGTGACTGAACATAACTCCTCAGAAATGCACACTACAGTGAAAAATAATATTTATTCAGTTTATTACCATTACTAAATGTACTGTTACAGTATCAATCTTTAAAAGCATGTCAGGACCCACCTAAGCTTTGTGATGGATTGAACATTAATGCTTGCACCGGCCTAGGAAAAATCTAAATTCCCAATATTACAACAGCAATACCACGTGTAAATGCTGAACTCACTGATTACATTCCAGTCAAATATTTATTTACCAACTGACAAAGTGTTAGTCCTGGCAAGATAACAAAACCTGATGCTAATTAAGGGCACAATTTTTCTGATGGCATCCAACACTAATGCAGTTTGTTTAGGAAAATAAAACCAAACAAACAAAATACACTTTTCAAATACTTTTTTTTGGGTTTTTTTTCCTTGTGAATATGGTATAATTCCATTTCATGCACCTAAAATTCCATGGCACTGTTAGGAACATTCTCCCCCTTATATACATTTATAGAGAAATATGGAGAATATAAAGAATATAAAGAATATAAAGACTCTAAAGAATATAAAGAATATAAAATAATATAAATAATATATAGAATTATATATTAAAATTTTAAAAAATTTAAAGAATTTTCTTTATCACTGTTACAAAAGGTGGTGGTAACAAGGTACCATAATTGTCAGAGCATGGAGATATCAAAGGAAGAGATATTATTTCATTGTATTTCTACTTCAGCCACAGGAAAACAACACTCACCTGCCTTGAAGATGCAAGAATCCTGACAGGAAAATACAAACCAGGCCAGAAAGTTTCTGCAAAAGCAGCACTTCAGGATAAAATATTGGGAGTTCTGCAGGGAAGGCAGCTGAAGACCAGAATTTGTCATCATGAGAAACTGAAAGAAAAAACAGGATGTGAACTTGGTACTGGATCTAACTCACAGGCAAAACAGGATTTTTCCTGTTCTTTCTTCGACTCCCCTCCTTTTAAAATATTAATTTATGGTTTTGTTCTTACTGTTTTCTGTTTTTTTGATTCTTCACATGGGATTTTCAAACCTACAATCTTTCTCAAATGTTACTTAAAAAACCCAGTCTAATCAAGTAAAATTTATATAGTAAATATTGGATTCTTCATATTGATATCAATCTTGGAAATGGAATCAAAGTTCTTGGCAAGTCTGACTTTCTGAACTGAAACTGTTCTTGAGATTTTTTTCAAAAGTATATGGGGAAATCATATTAGAAAACCAGACAGAAAGGTGATAAAAAGGAAATAAATACAGCACAAAACCAACAAAACAAACAACAACCAAACAAGTCCCAACAAAAACCCAACAGGGAATGTATGAAAGTAAAGAAAATCAGAATACAGAAGGAGGTTAGGACATGGCAGAATTAATAGTGAGCTCATAAATAAGGAGATATTCTGAAGCTCCTTTTGTCACTCATTTTCAGCAAGGAATGAATTCACGTCCTATGGTTTGAGTTTCCCAGCACACCTCGTGGTACAAGATGCTGACACGCTGTTTGTGTGACATTTTCACTCCGAAACATTCATCTTCTTTCAGCTGAACCAGACTGATTAAACTTTAACCAGAGAAGGAACGAGCTAGGGAGGGTTTATTTGTGGCTCACATATGGCTCCTGTCGCTGTCACACACGACATTGGAACAGCAAGAAAGGGCAAGTGTCTAGACCCCACTGAATCACTTGGAGTCCTACTTATGGTTTCTATTCATCTTCAGTTTCCTCAAAAACCTGCTTTATCCCCACCTTCCCCTCGATCTGTAAAACTCTGCCCTCCTCCCAAGCCTTGCCTCACAACTAATTTGCCAAATTAGAGTTGGGTTCCGCGAGCATTTGCCCACATATGTGCAGAGAATTCAGGCGACGTCTCCTTAACGACTTCAACACGACTCCAACAATTAAAGCTCAAAGCATGTGAGAGCTGCCTTGGTTTGGGGTAGAAAATCGCTGCCTTCCACGTCAGAGTCAATGAGGACTCTGATCTGAGCCGTGGAAACGCCAGCATTCTAAAGCAGCCTCGATGTCTGATGTTCACCTGAGGTAGGAGAGCCTCAGGCAAGGCACCGACGAGGGAAATCAGCCAGAAAGGGAGACAAGGCATGTGAGCAGAGGCTTGCTCGCCCCCTAAAATCATAAAGCACAAACCAGCCCCAGTTACAAAAGAGTAAACCTTTTCCTTTGATGAGGAGGTCTCAGATACCTGGGTTTAACAGCCTAAACAAGTGTCCCCATAACCAGACACCGAGACCTGAATTCCTTCTGCCTGTTGATGTCTGAACAAAACCCTCCCCATGGAGGATGCCAGGCTGATCTCACGGCCAATGTCAAATTAAACTCCTGTAAAGCACTGAGCACCAACCCTTGGAGCTTTGTGGTGCTGGTGTGGCACAAACCCAGCTCAGAGCTGGGCCCATTTAACACACAAGGACACGCTCCAGGCAAATTTCTCGAGCTGTGTGGCGTTAATTACACAAGGTGGGCAGCAGAGCTGCTGGGGCAGGCACTGAGCCCTGAGCTGTCACCGTTTATGAGCACAATGCTATTGACACTGCACATCTCTGCACAGCCCAGGCAGAGGCAGGTGCTGTGGATAAAGAAAATGCAACTTCTGGGCCCTCTTTGCCGCTGTAAAAATCACAGCAGTTTCTCAAAGAAGCATCAAAGGCAGGATTTTCTGTGTGAGATGGACAGGACTCCGTTCTTCCCTACTTCTGCACTTCAAAATATAATTACAAGATGAACTGGACCACGTTTACTGCTGATGTAATTCCACTGAAGTTATTTCTGAGAGAAAATCTAATCCACTAACGTAAATCTGCAGCATGTTGATGCTTTATAATTAAACAAAATGGATTTCCCTTTGTCTCGTCTGTACTGCTTGAAAAAATGCATTGTTTAAAACAGAAGATGAAATAAATACTTTTCTGGGTGAGCTGTGAGGGTGGGGAGGAACCAGAACAGAGAATGTGTGGATGCTGCACCCCTGGAACTGTCCAAGACCAGGCTGGATGGGGTTTGGAGTATGGGAAAGTGTCCCTGCCTATGGCAGGAGGTGGGACAAGGGGATTTTTAGGGTCCTTTCCAACCCAAACCTTTTTATGATTCTATGATCAGCAGTGACCAGGTGTGTCATGACAAATAACTCAAATTATTGACCTCAGGTAGAATTATATTAGCCTTTTCCTAAACAAGAAGCTGCCTTTTAATATCACAGAATAAATTTCAGCAAAATATTTATGTCCTAGGCCTGCTTTCAAACATGGAAGTGGAACAGGGATGTTCATTTGCCTTTCTAGAGGGATGTAGAGATGGCTCTGCCAGCACAGCACAGGCCAGGAGAGCAAACATTGTATGGCACCAAATAGAACATCAACATCTGGACTGTTCCAGATGTGTTTAATTCTGTTTAGGGTAAAGCATCCATATGATCTAACAACCATGTCTGCACTTGGAGTGAGCAGGTAGAGCCAGAGCTTTAACACCTCTTTCAATTGACTCTGCTCACATCTCCTCCGTGCACATCCATAATTCCACTCACCACACTTGTCCTTGCATATGTTTTTGCATTATTCAGTAGCAAATTCAGTCCTCAGGCATAAACAAACAAATCACATATGTTTCATTAGCTACAGCAAGGTCTAATTGCAGTAAGCAGAAACACACAGGAAATTCAAAAATGTTCAGAATTGTTACTATAGCCACCACAAAATACAAATACTTGATACAAACTTTATAATATAAATAATTTAATAGAGAGAAACCTAATGAAAATGAAAGGACACCCAGGAAGGAATATATTTTAAAGCATTAAAACCCCATGGAATAAATATATTTAGGTGTAAACTGGCCAAGCACAACTAGAGCTTCAGGACCTCAGTGGGTTTCAGACCCTTCTCCCATGCAGCAAAAACAGTTGAGGTTTTCCACTAATGAAGAAACAAATAAAAACCACAGAACAGAAAATTAAATTCTGCAGAATTCCAGGCTTTACAGAAGAGGAGGGGATCATGACATAATTAACAGGGCCAGATTCCTTTTCTGTTCCCAGAGTAATGTAATTCTAGATGCTCCTTCAAACCTGAAGTTCTCTCTTAAAAACTCTTGTGCACCTTCATCTTCTCACATTTCTCTCAAGTTGCTTGATTTGTCTCTGGCTTACAGATTGTGATATCAAGCTATCAATAACTCTAGAAGATTAATAAGCATTTAATGAACTCTCAGGAGAGTACAGAGAAATAAATAAAAATTTATTTTATTTTGTTATTTATGTTCTGTATCTGTAATAAAACTGCATATCTAGAAATATCATTAAATAAGAGAATTTCAAAGATTGTCCTAAAGTAGTATTTTTTGTGTTCATTCTAAAAGTTTAGCTTGCTAAATTAAGATATTAACCAGCAAGAACAGAAACCACAACCAGCTTTCAAGGAAAACAGTTATTCCTATACTATCAAAAAGAGACAAGTACAGCCACCAAATATTTATAAGTTTGACAGTCCTTGTAAGAGACTTATGCAATAATAAAAACAACAAAAAATGGCCCAATTCCAGCCTGAAGATCTTTTTTAAAAAAGAAGTAAGTTTCACTGCCACACAGTCTCTAGTGTTAACAAGGGGTAGATGCAGCTCCTGCAAAAACAGAAAAAGAAACTTCTGTCCATAAACAGATGCAGATTATATTTATACATCTGCTTAATGTACAGAAATACAGACAGAGGGATAAAATAATTACCTGCATTGAAACAGGTGCTAAAAACCAGAAGTGAGCCATCAGCCTTTATCACAACTTACTCCAGGTTAATAACAGCAAGGTTTGGACCATATTTGCATCTCTTTTAAGAGGAGACAAACAGTCAGTCAAACATCAGCAGAGCTCACAGAGAATAATTTTTTCTCTATTTTGCAGAGAATGGCTGAGAAACCCCAAAGTGTCGGAGTTCCCACCTCCCTCTGCCTCAGCTTCCCACCACTGCAAAATAAATCCTAAAAAGAATTTCATAGGAGAGATGAGCATTAGTCCAATTTACTATTTCTCATGGTGAAGAGCAAAAAGGTATATTCAGATAAAGACAAATGGGAGCCAAGCCCTTTAGATATCTTCTTATAATTAAGAAAGTGTCAGAACCTCTGTCCTAAATTTGTTCTGTCAAAAGTAATAGAACAGATCATTGTTTCCAAGGCTAAGACACATTAGAATTTTTATTAGGAACTCCTAACAAATGAGAAATACAAGAGCAAAGCTGTTATTTGAATGTCACTGATTCTTCAGGTTTAATACATCTAATTTCCTCTTTCTCTGCTATTGGAGATGTCTGCAGCCTTACACAGTGCACAGGCACAAACACAGAGGAGCCACTGGTTTGCAAATGGAATGAGATTTCATAAATCAAGGGAATACATCCCTGCATGTTAGTGAAAAGCTGGCTCTTCACTATTTTAAAACAATATTTTAAAGCACACTTTAATTGAAACAGAAAATGATTTTATCAGTAGTGTTAGCACCAGTTATTCTTTCATATATTTTGGGTGTCTTTTCATATCTTGAACATAAAAATGCACTCTCTTCCCTTCTTCTTTCAGCAGCATCCTTCCTATATGCACTAAAGAGATCATCCGATGATTTTAGTTTCTAAAAATCTTCACCCTTATTTGATTGTGCAGCTTGACTGTTAATTATTTTTTTTCACTCAGTGTTGATTTCCTCCATGCAAAGACTCCAGTTTTATTTTTAGTGTCTTGTATAATTGTTCACTAATGCCTTATTAAAGCTGAACACCTGTAGCCTCTGTTATCTTATAAATGAGTTAACAAGGAAAAACACTCCCCCAGGGAAGCTTATATTATATATATCTGAACCAGG